ACGCTCAACCGACCAAGCCACCTAGGCGCCCCTCAGGATAGGATTTTTAAAGAAATATGGAAATAAATAATACAGCTAAGCAAGACAGCAATTAATATTACTTTCCACAATGTTTTAAATGTCTTGTTTTTACAAAATCAACCAATTTTTCATTTCCTAATGACTTTGGTAATAGGATGTTGAGGGGCCTTGAATCTGGCCACCACATTGGGTAGACTTCTAGGCACGTGTTAGTGGATGCCAGTGATCAGATTGATCAGTGGATGCCCCAGAGGAAGACATCAAGAACTCAGACCCATAGGTTCCTGGGCTAAGACAGACATCTGTACTTGGGATTAAGCTGTTAGCAGTCTCATGTGGTGCTAAGGGTCTTGGCTGCTTAGTGATGCTTCCTAAGTGGATGCCTTTGGCATTCTGGCAGCAAGGTCCCCTCCCACTTCTCTACTATGTACTGTAACATCAGGATAAGACCACAGGTCCGTCTGCCATTAATTTCAGGCAGGACTGGGGGGAGCTTAAGAGGTAGCCTACTCCTTCTTAGCCTCTATATTTAACAAATTATGTTTCTTCATAAGCATTTGCAACGCAGGGACGACAAATATTTAGTAGCTATCCTACATATGACTCTAAGGAACAGAAACCCCTTAGGATACTGCAAGGGAACAGAGCATGATAAAGGGATATATGATCTACAAAAAAAAAAAAAAAAAAAAAAAAAAATAATAAAAAAGGTTTGGGGAACTCTGGCAGCTACTTTCTCTTTCTCTGCACATTGCATGGGTGGTTTCTGTCTGTTCTTCTTCCTTCCTGGCTCCTCCAGAGCACCCCACCTCTCTCAGGGTGGTACCTCTCTTCCCTGGGGTTCTGTTCCATCATTCTCTCAACAGCATCCTGTTTCCAAATCGGTCCCACTTCCTCATTACTGCACTCTTGGGAAGCTTCTGCCTCAGCCTGATCACAACTCTGGACATGTCCTTTTGATTCCTGTCTGTGCGGCTCATGGTCCCCTCTATTTTCCAATGCCAAGGGAAGAATCTCCTGGGTCCAGCTTGGCTTTCTGAGCCAGAATCATGGCTGCCAAACACCAGTATGCTGGGCTGCCTTGGGTCAGAGGACAACCCACTGAGCCATTGAGCCAAGGGCGGAGGGGGCATGTGGTGGCATCCCCCACTCAAGTGCCCCAGCAGCTAGGCAGATTCCCTCAAAAGAGGGGAGGACATACAACAGGATTGAAGGCACAGCAGATATATTCAGAATTTCAGCGAGTCTTAGAATCTGAGGGAGAAGGAGGACATCCCGAGATGGTCGACTTCAAACATGTACCTGCCCACATGCCCCCCCTAAAATCCTCAGCCTCCCAGGACAGAGGTCACCCCTCTTCCTAAAGAGATAAGAAACAAAGGAGATTGGGGGGGAGAGAGACTGGGCATGGATTAGGAAAAACAATATATAATACTTCCTGCAGACTAAAGGCAGTGATGAATGCAACCCTGGAAATGTGGATGCACTAACATCACACTTAAGGTACGTCTGTTTTCTGTGCACACTCACTAGCCACTATGAGGACGGGGATGTCTTGTTAAAAGTAACAATTCTCACACACTGTATTGTGTTCAAAAGTTTGAGATGTCCTGAATTGATGTAAAAACCTCACCACATTTTTCATCTTTTGGGCCTTTTCTCATCCAAGAATACTGGGCAATAGGGGTGCCTCGGTGACCTTCGATGGTTGAGCATCTGATTCTTGGTTTCGGCTCAGGTCATAATCTCATAGTTCATGAGATCAAGTCCTGTGACAGGTTCTGCACTGACAGCATAGACCTGCTTGGGATTCTCTCTCCACCGCTCCCCGCTCCCACCCACCCACCCGCCTCCCTCCCTCCTCGCCCCCCTTCAAAATACATAAACATTAAGAAGAAAGAGTATTGGGCAATAATCTAGAAAAGTGAAGTTAACACCCCAGATTTGAAGTATTCGAAGACTAATATAGACACAATGCCACTCACCCATTTTTAATACTTGGATGACTTATAGTAAGAGGAAGGTTGGGTCATTTGTGGAGTTTCAGAAGGATTTCCAAATCATGCCACAAATCCCTTGGGCCAACACAGCTAACACTTCTGGGATTCTGACTGGCATCAACAAAATCATTCTTTCAGAGTCAAATATTCCTTTATCCCAAAAAAGGTGATCAAAAAGCTTTCAGAACCAATGTATTATTTTGTTTTTCTAGGGAAACTGAAAAACTGCCAGAGGCACCTAAAAGGAAGCTGCACTTGGTTCCAAAACAGAAGTGATATAATTGCAAGGTCAAGTTCACACAGACATGCAAACTATTTCCTTTGAGCAGGTGTGGAGGAGAGAAAGGAGTGACACTTTTTTTTAAAGAGCCCATGTCTTCCTAAACCCAGTGCCATGATTCACTCACTTCACAACTGAGCTGAGAATGACAACACCCAAAGTGTCCTTTTTAACCTCTTTGGCTGAAAGTCAGCTGAAAACTGCTGACACAGGGCAGGTTTTGATGCAAAGGAAGCAAAGATGTCTAAGTGCATGGGAACGTCTTAAATAACCATTTAGTCTTGCATGATTTTATTTTACTCAAGAGGAGAAAATGAGAAATAATGGATGTAAGAAATAAATCTTATTTACCAGCTCAGGTTTCTTAGCCTTAGCACTGCTGATATTTTGTGCCGGGTAATTCTGTTGTGGGGCTGTCCTGTGCCCTGTCAGCAGCATCCCTGACCTCTACCTCCTAGAAGCCAATGGCACCTCCCTCAGTCATGGCAACCAAAATGGTCTCCAGACACTGCCAAGTGTCCCTTGGGGGTGAAAGTGTCCCCTGATGAGGATCACAGTACTAAACTAAAGGAGAATTCTAGTTGTTTATAGCAAAGACAGTTACCTGGAATTAAATCAGTTTCCCTGGAAATAGGCTGATTTAACTGTCCCTTTGGTATCATTAGCATCACAGAACTGAAGAGAGGACAGCAAGGCTTTTCCTTTTCTGAACACGGGGTCAGAAAATCAACAGCAGGGAGTTCTTTACCCCATACACCACTTGTGCTCACTCAGTGGTCAGATTTCCAACTTCCTCAATACAAGAGACACAACAAGAGACCGCAGTCCCTGATCATTCTGGAAAGTGATAGCTTTTATGTTTAGGAAGAGTCATGTTTTGAAGTTCTGGAGACTGTTGTGTCCTATACAAACATGTCCTCAATCAAAATTATGGCAGTGGCATACACAGGCAGACTTTGCATATAAAAAGGTTTGGAAGTCATGTCAACAGATCACACTCTCGTCCAGCTCCTCTCCTATTGTACCTCTCCCAGATGGACTCTGGAAATCATCCAGGAGGTCCCCAAGTCCAGTGATTTTGGAAAATCTGGCTCAGGCTATAGCCAAGGATGTGGCCTCGCCTGAGATCCCTCAGAGGAAAGTGCCTGTAGTCAGCCCTGGCAGGCGTTTTCCCTTCCCGGGTAGTTGGTGCTGCCCACAGCTAAGAAGGCATAAGAAGACCACTGCGCTCCCCCAGGCAGAGAGCACTGCTCTAGCTTCACACACCATGTCCCAAAAGACACAGGCAGAGTCACCTGGTACGGGAGCTCTCCGTGCAATGCCTTGCTCCAGAAAGATATCCAGCCCTTGAAGGGCCCTCGCTTTCAGAAGCAAGTACAGGATGTGAAAGAAGCTGTAACATGTCACTTCCAACAAAGAGTGGAGGGGTTTTCTGTGCAGCCACTGTGCAAACGAGCAGATACAGCCTTTATTAGATACCCACATGCTGAACCGCCAAATCCTTGCATAGTCTTGTTCACTTCTAAGCAGATCCCATTAAGCCCTGGGCACTTGGCTTGATTACTCCCTGGATCAAAGTTAAATTAAATTACCCAACAAGCTTCTTTTCAGAGGCAGAGAGAGAGACACACACACACAGACTGACTCACCTTCCAGAAGCTATCCACTTTGCCATACACAAGGGACTGGTTCTGCCTTTTGATTTCGTTAATGTGGTGGATATCGCTGGAGTTTAGATGCTGCTCAACCACAAATCCCAGAAAGCTGTTGTCTGGGGTATGAGCTGATGTGGAAAGGAAAGGACAGGGCAGTTAGGATTTAATCAGCAAGAAGAAGCAACGATCACAAATTTGAGATAAACCACCTTGCACATAATTAGATGTTTTCATTTTACCCTGTTCTATTTCTTAACCTGGGAAGGGGGAGGCAGGGGATTACCTACTCCCACATATTCCTAGCAGAACCTTCACATAAGAATTCTCTCCAGGATGGATTAACCTGAACCAAATCCTGCCTTTTTCTCCCGCCACCCCCGCCTATAAAATACATCTGTCTGAAAAGCATTCTGCTGTGTGCTCTCCTCCTTCCTATTTCCTTAGCACAAGGCCTGCTATCTCCCGACAGAAACGTTGCCTTCCTGGCTTTACCAACAAATGGCCAGAGCAGGGTTGAATCAAGGGTTCTCATAGGGGTGAGGCCGCTGTTGGCAGCCCCATGCCATGTGATCTCATGCCAGCTGGGTAAAAAGGGAGCTGGGGGCCAAACCAATCAACGCCTCCCCTAAGAATTACTCACTAACGGGAGATGTCCTTATGGAACTACACTGAACAGATGGAGGGAATGAAGACAGAAAGAAAGGTGAAACTCACTGGGATGTAAGCCACCCTGAGAAGCCAACCACCACAAGGAGCAGTGTCTCGTCTACAAGACAGACTATCTTGGAAGAGCAAGGCATCTTCCTCTGGATCACTTTTCACATGAGTTCTCAAACTTCTCTAGTTCAACACTTGATCCAGTGGGGAAGCAACCCCACACCTCCCTCCAACACTGGTCTCTTGTGCCTATCATTTTAAGAGGAATTTCACTGGAAGGCAAAAATCAGAAAACAATTCTCTGTAGTCGAAACAGAGACCCTCCTCTGCTACACATTCTGCCCAGAGAAATGTGTTTTTCAGTAAATGACCCTGCAGAGGCCCCATAACATTAAATAAAGCAACTGCTCTGCTTGATTCTGACCTGAATAGAGCGGCTATAAATACCCTAAATGGAGAGACACTTAATATTCAGACAAATCCACACAATGCGGGGTACGTATGGCTTTGATCACGCTCCTTCCCCAGGGAGGTGGTAAGCACACGGAGCAGGTTGGCCCCCTTGTCTTACTCCGGTTTCCTCAGGCTGCAGGAGCTCTTTCCCAGGCAGGGGACCTGCACAGAAACCCTTTACAATGGGCAGGGGGAGGCCTGTGCAAAGACCTAGGAACCTAAAGCCCCAGGCCTCACTCTCCTCTGCCCCGCACACAGACGAATGAGGGAACGCCAGCGGAAAGCCGTGAACTGTGGACATGAACGAGCTGCGTAAATACTGTGTTATCACCATCTAGTCTCCCAGGCTTCTGCCTAATGGGGGTGACAGAATGAGGAGATAATAGGGTTGTGACTGGGGAGTTGTGTTCGGTCTGGCCAATCTGTTATTTCATTTCTGTGTTCTTGAACAAGTGCCCAGAGGCGACGGCAACGGCTGCAGTTGGCTGGAAAGTAAATGAGTGAATAAATTCTACTGTCAACAAGGGGCAATGGTTGCCTTTTCTTTCTCTTTGAGGAGCTGCTGGTGAGGGGTTTTGAAGGAGGATGAGGGAGGGGAAGAGAGCGCAGCACATTCAAAAGGTCAGTAATGCAGCTTAAAACATCTCTTTGTGAAACTTCTAGCTGTCAAAATTCTGAAATAAAAACTGTCTAAACTTTGAGTCTGTGTTTTTTACCTTCAGAAAATGTATACGGTGACTAAACCTTCATGCTTTACGTAATCTTCTCTGAAATTCAGTTATCCAGTCCCTATATGGGCACTTCATTAAAAGGGTGAATTTTGAATCTATCATCTGAAACAACTTAAAAGGTGAAAAAATATAACATACTAACGTAGAGTCAAAAATAAAATCAAAGCCCAAAAAAGAAAAGAATAACTCATACATGTATGTATTTTTGCGTCAAAAATTCCCATAGCTTCTGGCTTAAACAGTGAGGGTGAGAGAGCCAACAACCTATTTAAAAAACTTGTGAGAAACTGTGGGCTCTTTACGACTGCTTTACGACTGTCATTTGGTACTAAATCAATTTTGACATTGTATGAACAATTACAGAGACATGCTCTTCTCTGAGTTTTCACGCCAACACTTTATTTTGACTCCTCTCTCTGGTCTGGAGGTGTTAGCTGGGGATGGGCAGCCTGTAAGCGCTGGTAAGGACCGTGGAGAAGACTCAAGGCTGCACCTATCAATGGCACGGCCACATTTCACTGGCACTGGTCAGACCTCCCATGGATCTTCCCAGGGAACGCCGAACCTGCCACAGGACGCCGGGCAAGGGGGCCAGGCAGGGTCATGCAGCTGCAACCTGCCCAGCCGGTGATTCAGAAGTAGCCACAGGCCCTGATGTGGCTCCCTTCCAAGGAGCTGGCCAGCAGCTGGGTACCTGCCTGGTGACATCGTCCCTGAGGGCCATGGTCTCAACACACATATTCCTAAAATCAGTTAATAATAAGTCAAAAGTCATCAAGAGAGACTGAAGCTCTCCAAAATGACCTTTCTGTGGAGATCCAACTTCATCCCAAGCTTTGTCTTTTGCTCTGCCTGAAGATGGGAATAGAGAATTTAGCTGTGGTGGGAGGGTTTCAAAGAGAAAGTATTTAC